CACCACACCTGGCTAATTTTTGTATTTTTAGTAGAGATAGGGTTTCACCATGTTGGCCAGGCTGGTGTCGAACTCCTGACCTCAAGTGATCCGCCCGCCTCAGCCTCCCAAAGTGCTGGGATTACAGGCATAAGCCACCATGCCCAGCCTAAAATATTTCAAAAAGAAAGAAAAATAAGCTGTGTAAGGGAAGAATAAGGTCAGGGCAAGCAGGGTGGGCTGGGAGGGGAAGCTGAGTGGTCACGTGGGCAAGGCCAAAACTGGGAAATGTGTCAGGGCTGACTGGGGTGGGGTGGGGTGGGGCACCTGCTGAGTCGCTGAGGTCTCCACAGACAGGATGCATCTGTGATTTGCAAGGAGCATAGGAGCATAGCTGGACAGAGGGGGACAGGCTGGGTGGGGCTGAGGGGCAGGCTGGAGGCAGGAAGGACTCGAACCTGCTGAGACAGAATGGAGGCCAGGTCCAAGGTGAAGGGGCTGGGAGAGGCAGGAAAGCCCAGCTCCCTCCTCCATCCTGTCCTCCCCATCCACAGGAAAACCCCCCAAGCCCTTTGGAGGGGCCCTAGGAGCCCTGGGATACCAAGGTGAGTAGAGATTCAGCCCCCTAAAGAGGCAGGGCAGGAGGGGCAGAGACAGAGGTGGAGGGATGGCCCACCAGCCTGGGTTCTGGAGCAGGGAGGTTAGGGAAGGGGGATGGATACCTCCTGCCCATCCCGCCTACCTCCCACACAGATATTCAGAGCTGCGTGTGGACTCAGGGCCCTCCAAGCTCACCCCGGGCCAGGCCTGGCTGTCCCTCCCAAAGTCCCTTAGCCTGCTACAGGAAGTCAACTGGAAAAGAGAAGGAAAACATTGGAGGAGAAGGGAAGGAGAAGGGCTGGGACCACTGGAGCCGCAGAGTCAGGGAAACCAGAGGGTGTGGGCATGGGGCGTGCAAGGTGCCCTGGGCTGGGCAGCAAGGGCTGAAGCTACCACCTAGGGCTAAGCCACATTCCTTCACAAAGATGCAGACCTGGCCAGGCGTGGTGGCTCATGCCTGTAATCCCAGCACTTTGGGAGGCCAAGGCGGGTGAATCACCTGAGGTCAGGAGTTCAAGACCAGCCTGGCCAACATGGTGAAACCCCGTCTCTACTGAAAATACAAAAACTTAGCCAGGCATGGTGGTGGACACCTGTAATTCCAGTTGCTTTGGAGGCTGAGGCAGGAGAATCTCTTGAACTGGGGAGGCAGAGGTTGCAGTGAGCCGAGATCATGCCATTGCACTCCACCCTGATCAACAAGGGCGAAAATCCATCTCAAAAAAGAAAAAAAAGATGCAGACCTAGCCAGGCGCGATGGCTCATGCCTGTAATCCTAGCACTTCGGGAGGCCGGGGCGTGAAGATCGCGTGAGCCCAGGAATTTGAGACCAGACTAGGCAACAGAGTGAGACCCTGTCTCTACAGAAATTTTAAAAATTAGCTGGGTGTGGTGGTGCACATCTGTAGTCTCAGGTACTCTGGAGGCTGAGGTGAGAGGATTGCTTGAGCCCAGGAGTTCAAGGATGCAGTGAGCTGTGATTGTGCCACCGCACTGCAACCTGGACAATAGAGCAAGATCCTGCCTCAAAAGTAAAATATGCCGATCCACCTCTGGGGAGGGTGTGGGTGGTTCTTTTACCTCCCCGCAAGGTCCTCCATATGATACCAAAAGGAGTCCCAGAGAAGTCACAGCTGTGCCCCTGTGGTTACTCAGGACTGTGAATTCCCTTCCACACAGTCCTGTTCCCCATTGCACAGATGAGACAGCTGAGGCCAGGGTGGGAGGGGCAGAGGCAAAACCAAACTGACCGTTTCCAGGGTGCCCAGCTTTCAACAGGGCGACAGTCTTGCTTGTGGCCCTATCATGGCATTTCCCAAACCAGGTGACAAACTTCAGAGAGAGGGCTGGGTGTAGTGGCTCATGCCTGTCATCCCAGCACTTTGGGAGGCTGAGACAGGTGGGTCACCTGAGATCAGGAGTTCGAGACCCCAGCCTGGTCAACATGGCAAAACCCCGTCTCTACTAAAAATACAAATATTAGCCGGGTGTGGTGGTGTGCGCCTGTAATCCCAGCTACTCTGGAGGCTGAGACAGGAGAAGTGCTTGAACCCAGGAGGTGGAGGTTGCAGTGAGCTGAGACCACACCACTGCCCTCCAGCCTGGGTGACGACAGAGCAAGACGATTGCGTCTCAAAACAAAAAACAAAAACTTCAGAGGCAGATGTCTGGTCCTGCCCTACTCTCTGCTCACTGCCACCAGGTGGCGGTAAGGAGCCATATCTGGCTCAAGCAGGGGTAGGAACTACTCCGGGCTGCTACTAGACAATGATGCCTTACCTAACATAGACTGATGCCTTGAAACAGGGTTCACCCATCAGACCATTCCCAGGAGGTGTAGGAATCTGGGTTTGGGTCCCAGCTCAGACACTATGTGGATAAGACCCTCTCTCCCTCTACTGGGCCTTGATTTACTTATCTGATGCCCTCTCAGATGTATGGGTCCACCCCACTCCCTAAGAGAGCCATCTCCTGCAGACACTGACTCTCCCTTCATCCCATGTTCCTTGATGGAGCTGCCCTTAGCCTTTCCCTGAAAGGCTTCTTGGAGCAGTGGAGCCAGGAGCCAGTGCCAGGCCCAGTCCTTCCCCAGCCAGGCCCCATGACCTGCCCCCTTTTCTGCAAGTGTTGGTTTCATCCAAGTAATATCTTGTGGGCTTCTCCGGCCCCATCTGTCCAGTGGAAGTTGATGGCATGGATCAGGTGTGAGTTTGGCCTGGGGCCGCGGCTTGGCTTCTGGTGACTTCTTGGAGCCTCCATCCGAGTGGGTCAGAGCAGGCGGGGATTAGAGCCGAAACAGAGGGGCCGGACTCATGGTGATGTGCACCTCCTCCCATCCAGGTGCGGCCTGCCTGGGGAAATCTTGTGGCCGGAAGAGAAAATGAGCTTCCCAGGACCCCTGACTCACGACCTCATCAACGTTGGTGCTACTGCTTGGTGGAGAATGTAAACCCTTTGTAACCCCATCCCATGCCCCTCCGACTCCCCACCCCAGGAGGGAACGGGCAGGCCGGGCGGCCTTGCAGATCCACAGGGCAAGGAAATAAGAGGGGAGCGGCCAAGTGCCCCGACCAGGAGGCCCCCTACTTCAGAGGCAAGGGCTGTGTGGTCCTGGCCCCCGACCCCATCCATTCCCACCTAGGAGCTCCCCCTCCACACAGCCTCCATCTCCAGGGAAACTTGGTGCTACACGCCGGTGCTCTTATCTTCCTGGGGGAAGGGAGGAGGGAAGGATGGCCCCTCGGGGAACCCCCTCCCTGGGACTCCTCTAAAGATGGTGCAGACACTTCCTGGGCAGTCCCAGCTCCCCCTGCCCACCAGGACCCACCCTTGGCTGCCGTCCAGTTGGTACCCAAGCACCTGAAGCCTCAAAGCTGGATTCGCCCATAGCATCCCTCCTCTCCTGCGTCCACTTGGCCGTCTCCTCCCCACCGATCGCTGTTCCCCACATCTGGGGCACCTTTGGGTTGGAAAACCACCCCACACTGGGAATAGCCACCTTGCTCTTGTGGAATCCATCCGCCCATCCGTCCATTCACCCATCCGTCCATCCATCCATGTCCCCATTGACCGCCCGGCACCACTAGCTGGCTGGGTGCACCCACCATCAACCTGGTTGACCTGTCATGGCAGCCTGTGCCCTGCCTCCACCCCCATCCTACACTCCCCCAGGGTGTGCAGGGCTGTGCAGACTGGGGTGCTAGGCATCTCCTCCCCACCTGGGGTGTCCCCACATGCAGTACTGTATCCCCCTCATCCCTCCCTCCGTCCACTGAACTTCAGAGCAGTTCCCACTCCTGCCCCGCCCATCTTTTTGTGTCTCGCTGTGATAGATCAATAAATATTTTATTTTTTGTCCTGGATATTTGGGGATTATTTTTGATTGTTGATGTTCTCTTTTGGTTTTATTTTTGTGGTTCATTGAAAAAAAGAGAAATTTTTTTTTCTGATTGGGGGAGCTGTATCCCCAGTAGAAAAGTCATTTTAATCACTCTGATATAACTCTGGATGAAACACACCTTTTTTTTTTT